CTTGTGCAAGTGCTGGGAATACTCATGCAGTCAGTACATGGCGAGCTGTGTGTGGGCGACATTACAGAGGAAACAACATTTCACCAATCTAAATGGGATGGATTTACCGTGCATAATTAAATACCCTTCCACAGTATTCAGTGGCCTGTTGCGAATAAAGTAAATAGGGTAATTAGAATTCAGTGGGGTGTCTCTAAAGTGATCGGCCTGAAGACACATCTAATATAGCATGACGTGTTGTCAGAATCATCGCACACCTGTGATTTTTGATAATGACGATGATGTGCAATTGTATTGTCTTCTTTAGGACTTTAAGGGTTTTAATTGGCATTAAGATTTTGCCAACGCAATGTTTTGCGCGTAAGCTCCAACGTCTTGGGCGTCTTCGATTGCTGTTTACTTTCACATGTATTAAAAGGAAATGTTTCCATTTGTTAACGTCTCATTACTGTGCCCACTTCCGGTTAAATACCTTTCCAATAGTAGAGTGTTTACATACATATCTAGCCAGGTGTGTGGTCTGTTAGCGCGCGCACACACACACACAAATATATGCTTTGTAGCCTGCATGGATTGTTCAAGTGTTGTTACATCTCGCCTATGAATCCAGACACAGCACACAATCTGAGTAGCGTGCAGAGTTTTACAGAGCATCTCAACACTTTTTTTTTTAGAAGTGTTTAGACTTTTCTGTTTCAACATACGAGAATAACTCGCAAGCACCTCCAACGTGTGACCTCTGATAACCCTACTTGCTGTACCACCTCACGCAGACAACCTAATTGGCTATCTCGGTGCCATCTGCTTGTGCAATCTCTGAATGGTGCACGGGCACCAATTAAAATCCTCTGGATTATACATCGAACACGGAGTGCGATGATGACACAGGAGACGTGACGTGGATTGGTTTGCGACTGTGATGAGCCAATACATGTCTGTGTGTCCCGCGCGTGACGTCACTCCACGTCGGCCAGCCCCCCTCATCAATAATCATGAACGGTTGACGTCCTCCACATGAATCCCCCCCTCATTAATAATCATGAACGGGTGACGTCATCCACGTGGACCCCCCCTCCTCCATTAATAATCTTGAGCGGGTGACGTCACTCCACATGTATCACCCCCCTCATTAATAATCATGAAGAGGTGACGTCTTACAAATGGACACCCCCCCTTCATTAATAATCATGAGCGGGTGACGTCACTCCATATGGGGGGGGCGAGGCGCCTCCTCCCCCCCCTCAACTTACAACCCTCACTACAAAGGCAGAATCCTCACGTCACGTGATCTCCGTAACGCTGTTGTTGAGACATCAAAGTAAAAAGGACGTCGTGATGAACAAGGGATTAAAACCTTAACATGAAATAGGTCTGTGTCACCGCGCCCTTACTAATTGCACACGAATCGATGCAATGAACATCACGTCGCGGTCAGCTTTTGCTTGCAAGTTTCAGATTTAATTCTAGATTTGCGCTATGAACCACAGATTTACTGCAATACAACCGTCCTTGGACGGGCAAATGCAGTACGTAGTTACGGTATAACTAACTAGTTACAGTATAACTAACTAGTTACAGTATAACTAACTAGCCTTGTAAGTTGACGCTGAGGAGGGAGGAGGAGGCGCCTCGTCTCCCCATGTGGAGTGACGTCACCCGCTAATTAATATTAATGAGGGGGGGGGGTCCATATGGAGGACGTCACCTGTTCATGATTATTAATCAGGGGGGCTGGCCGATGCGGAGTGACGTCACGCACAGGACACACAGACATGCTGAGCCCATTATAGTTGTGAATGGTCACCACGAATTCATGTGGTGGAGTGGTGGCGCAGTAGTTGGTACATTCCCAGCAGTTTTTCATTTCAGTTTCATTTATTTGGTATAGCCCTGTGAGCCATTCGGCTCTTGAATCGGGTGCAACCGCAACAAACAAAAAAACTAAAACATGAACAAGAAAACATCTTAAAGTGACTATGTGACTGTGCAAACAGAAAATCCAGGAAAAAACAGCAAAATATTCCAGAAAAAGCACCGTACACCAACGCTGTGTGCAAAAATCCCAGTGGGATGCAAGTCAAACAACAACAACAACCACAAGACAACTTAGATTAAAGCCATCAGTCTCACTCCGTACTACAACAAACATGGCCAAACCAAAAAACGTTTTCGAAATCACCAAAATAAAGCCATAAAAGCAATGTAACAGTGATCATAGGAACTGTGACCGAATTTTTACAATAAACAACATGTACCACCGAACGCAGGAGCATCAGTCGGAGTATCAAACATGTAACGTCGGGGCCAGCGTTAGCATATGGTTGGAAGTTGGAACCGTACGACCAACGTTGCCCCAACACTGGCCCGACGCTCGATGTTTACTGGGTTTGCGCTATGAACCACCCGAGTTGAATTCCTGGCCACGGCTTAGCATCAGTGGTTGAGTCATATCTGAAGCGGTCGTAGACAACCTGCATGGACAAAGCGTGGTATGGTCAAACAACCCGCACGACGTGGATTGACAAAGGGCTGTACACTCCGAGGCATTCACCGTCACCAGCCACCAGAATACTGATCTGGGCTCCTGTCCTCCCTCTCATATGCAGGGTGTTTGTTAAATCACAGACGCGTACAACAACAACAAGAACAACAACCCCGCGTGCTGCACGGATCAGGCGAGTGAACCGGGTCGTGTTGGGATGGACCCAGCCGCAGGAACACGCGGTGACGACGGTGGTTGTGATTCATGACACATCACTACTTTTTCTTTCTGTGAGCCAAATGACGAGCCAAACAATAACGCACACCTCACTGGTATCCAATAGTAAATTTTTAAAAAAACGTGCAAATCAGCGAAGTGTAAAGAAGCTTTTGCAGTCAACTATGTGACTGAGCGCCGTACAATCCGAAGGTTGTTGTAAGGTCCAAAATATGCCCCTCGGAGTATCCGATTAGTGCGGCTAAGATGCGTGGCATTGACGCACAAATGACTCATTTGGCGGGTCTCCGGGGTCCCGCAAAGATCAAGGTCAATAATTATTATTGTTGTTGTTGTTCAGTCCGCCCCACTACGTGACCCCGCCAGCAACGCGCCGCCCGCCCAGACTCGCCGTGCCAACAAGCGCCAGCAGCAGCAGCAGCAGGCGGCGATCACCACGATGGGCGCCACCCCACCGGGCAAACGCGAACCCCGGGGGGGCGTCCGCCGCAGCCGCCATCCGGTCAGCCGTCGATCCTCAGCTTCTTTGCCATAGGCGAGCCCCACCGCCGCCCACCCCCCCCAGGCAGTGAATTTAACGTGTTTGTGTAATTTTTCAACTTTTTACGAAACTTAGTGTCCCCGAGTAGCTGTCGACGAGGCCACTCGATTGACCACTAGTTGTGTTGTTGTTGTCGGTAAGGCAACAAAGACTCGTGTCGCTACTCGTGTCGTTACGCGGTTTTCCCCCACCCCGGGGCAGTGATGGGACCCCGGGGTCACGCCAATTGTTGCTTCAAATGTCGTAGGCGCGCCGTTTCAAGGTGGTGGGTGGGCGTTGTGTGCTCGCGAACTGTAGGAAGCAATGGGTAGCACACTGGAACCTACGGCCCAAAATGAGCCGGTTCGATTCGATCTCCTGGCGTGGCAGTTCACCCAAGGGGCCGTCCATAAATGACGTCACGCACCTGGGGGGAGGGGGGGGGGTCAGACATTTGTGACGATTGTGACGAGGGGGGGTATGGGGGTTTGAGAAATGTGACGGCACAGCAAAATGCGCAACTTTAAATAAGTATAGAAAACACTTTCTACTTCATTAAATAGACTTTTTAATAAATGTTTTCTCCTACAACATCAGAGTTGCAGCGCCACATTAAATACGCACTACAATGACAATAGTTTAAAGCGATTTGAAGTACGTTTTATTTTTTGGAGGGGGGGAGAGGGCAGAGCTTTGTGACGTCATATTTGAGGGGGGTCTGACTTTTTGTGACGCCGTCTGACGAAGGGGGGGGGGGTAAAAAATCGTCCAAAATCGCGTGACGTCATTTATGGACGGCCCCCAACGAGCACGTTCCTCACATCACAATTACACCCCGGAGTATAAGGGGCCGTCCATAAATGACGTCACACACCTAGCGGGGGGGAGGGGGGTCAGACATTTGTGCAAATGTGACGAGGGGGGGAGGGAGGGGTTTGAGAAATGTGACGTCACATAAAAATGCGCAACTTTAAATAAATCTAAACAATAGCATTGTTATAACAAAACGATATTTGATTAATTTTCATTATTAACTATTTGATTATTTAAATTTACTAAGGTCACCTTTTATTTATTCCATGAAGGAGCATTTTGCTTCTCCATGGGAGAATGGAGAAGCGTACATTTGTTTAATGATTGTTATTAAACATTTTTATTTTAATGATTCTACCAGGGCTTTTCATTCTGTGGAATGAATGTGATTGTTATGATTGTACTCTCCATTTTGCTTCGTTCTACTACAAAGTTTCAAGTATTTTTTATAGTTATAATTACTTTTAATATTTTATAATTATAATAGAATTTCAATATTATATTCTGAACTTCTGCAGTTTTAGTTAGACGTTTAATATTTTCAAGTGAATTTTATGCAAAATTTCAGCTTTCCAACGCCTCCTTTTTATTTTCAAAATGGAAATATGGTTTGGGGGGGGCAGAGCTTTGTGACGTCATATTTGAGGGGGGTCTCACTTTTTGTGACGCCGTGTGACTAGGGGGGGAGGGGGGTCAAAAATCGTCTAAAATCGCGTGACGTCATTTATGGACGGCCCCTAAGTGGACACGTTTTACTGCCGCCTCTTGCAATGCGTCTGACGTTCGTTGGAAGAGTAGGCCAAATACAGTGGATAGGGGTTCTCTAGGGACCCCCCCCCCACCCCACAAATAAAATCTACGAATTGATGTACAATCGCTGTGTGATGGCGAAAGAGGAAGGCGTTGTGGCTGGGCTGGGTTGATGGTGAGGGTAGTGGGGGGGAGGAGGTGGTGGGAGGAGGAGGAGGAGTTGTTGGATGCTGTCGCCTCCGTCCGTTGGTTGCACCCCCTCGTCGTTCATAAAGGCGGCGTCTGATGCAGCGCTTTTAAACTCACTCCGAGAGGCGCGCCGTTCAGGAGAGGACGCGCCAGGAGCCCTGCTTCGTGTCGACAGAGGTGAAGGTTCGCACGCGCTCCAAGCTGCTGCAAGCTGCTGTTGTTCTCAGGTTAAACCACACACGGGCACTTAAGCTGATGTTGTTCTCAGGTTAAACCACACACGGGCACTTAAGCTGATGTTGTTCTCAGGTTAAACCACACACGGGCACTTAAGCTGATGTTGTTCTCAGGTTAAACCACACACGGGCACTTAAGCTGATGTTGTTCTCAGGTTAAATCACACACGGGCACTATGCTGATGTTGTTCTCAGGTTAAACCACACACGGGCACTAAGCTGATGTTGTTCTCAGGTTAAATCACACACGGGCACTATGCTGATGTTGTTCTCAGGTTAAACCACACACGGGCACTAAGCTGATGTTGTTCTCAGGTTAAACCACACACGGGCACTAAGCTGATATTGTTCTCAGCTTAAACCACACACGGGCACTAAGCTGATGTTGTTCTCAGGTTAAACCACACACGGGCACTAAGCTGATATTGTTCTCAGCTTAAACCACACACGGGCACTAAGCTGATGTTGTTCTCAGGTTAAACCACACACGGGCACTAAGCTGATATTGTTCTCAGCTTAAACCACACACGGGCACTAAGCTGCTATTGTTCTCAGGTTAAACCACACACGGGCTTTAAGCTGCAATTGTCCTTGGGTTAAACCACACACGGACTTTAAGCTGCTATTGCTCTCAGGTTAAACCACACACATGTAGGCTCTAAGCGGCTATTTTTTCAGGTTAAATCACACACACACCTAGCTCCTAAGCACGCACATCCACATACTTGGGAGCACTTTCTTAGGCATATACCCTGCATCAAGCCTATAATGGCCTTTCACGTACGCTCCTCAATCCGCAAAGTACAAACATCACTCAAATTTCGTGCGAATGAACGTTGCATTGTGCACAGCCACACCTAGTGCCTGCCGTATCGAGTGTGCACGCTCTGTGTGAATGCGCGCGCGTGTGTGTGTAGTGGTGGCGGGGTTGGACTTGAGTTGTCCATTTATTGGTTTCTTTTGTTTCTTTGACGTTTTCGTTGTACAGCCACGAATAGAAGATCACTCCTCCCAGCCGTCGCCCAGCCATGCCACAGCAAGTCATCTTGACGGGTCCAGCGCCGTGGGGGTTCCGTCTCGTGGGAGGAAGGGACCTTGACCAGCCTCTCACCATCAGCCGGGTAAGTCGTCGTTCTCCCCGTGGCAATGGAAACAAGTTTCACCCATAACTCGGTCATCAACGCCTCCAGCTGTCGCTATTCGCTGTATCTTTCGAGTTCCTTTTGGGGGGGCGTCAATGCGCGACTACGTGACCGCGTTCACCTTCACCGACACCTCTTGAGATCTCACTTGACTCTTGCTGCGGCTTTCAACCGAGATGTATGTACTGCACATCCATACGCGTTGAACTTTGTTCGGACCCTGCATAGCCAGCCGTGCTAATCGGAGGTATGCGTGGGAAAGAGATGGCAGCACTTCCATCGCGTCCATTGATGTTTGACGTCCATCCATTCGGGACAGCCTTCATCACCCGTGGGGAAATGCATGCGGGGTTATAAACGGTCCAGAGTTTTGCACGTTAGGTGATGAAGCTCTAAGCGATCTTCGCCTGTTTTCCATGAGGGGGCAGCGAATTGATTCGGTGTGGCAAAAGGCAAATTCTGCTGCATGCGGTGTGTGCTGAACTTTAACACAATTAAACACCGTTACTATAAGCACCGTTAATTATTGGTGTTTATGTTCATGTGGTGGTCTTTTTTAGGTTTTTTTATGCAGTTCAGTGTTTCAGAAACGCGGTGGGAAACCGGTAGCACATAACGTGGTCAGCCTTTAGAAGCTGCTTTTTTTTCCACGCTCAAATATAACTACTGTAATGGCATTTCTACCTTGAGGTTTGTAATTCGGCTGTAAAACCGCAGCCTTTTAGGCACTCATTTAATTACGCAAAATCCGGGTGTACCATGTTGCTAATTAACCATTTGCAGCTAGGCTCGGTACATTACTCGGTGGCCTTGTTTCGGCAATTTACTTGTGTTTTGCTATTTATTGGGCTTAACCACATGTCGGGCAAACTGGCTGTCTGCTGGAATCCACCTGATTGCTTTCAGGCCATGAAGGAATGACCCTCGGAATGTGTGAGCAGCTGAAATGCACGGAATAGTTTACCACCGTCGTCATTAACAGACGCTTCTTATAATTACCGCTGAGGCTTTTTTTAGCCCATCCGCCCAGACAATGGTTCCAGACTAAACGACCGCAAGCATTCTGACGAATTAGCGTAGCATACTTGCTGATAAGGAAAATATTCCATTATTCAATACTGGCACGGTACTAAATTACAATATAAATAATTTGGAACGTGTGCATGTTACAGAGCCTTGTCACTGCACTGCTGGATGAGGGCCTCTCCACACCATCAGGGGTCGCTAAGGTTATTTTACCATACTTCACCACACTGGTCTCAGTGCAGGTTGGTAGAAGGTGGGAGAGCAGAGACACGGGAGCGAACAAGTCCTTGGAGATTATTCCGGTGTAGAGCAAGAGGAGTAGAGGGAAACCGAGGGTTGATGGAAGGATGTGGTGGAATGAGATATCAGGAGAGTGGGTGTGATGTAAGGGGAGGCAGAATATAGGGAGCAGTCAACACCGTTGATGATTATCTGAACGGGTCCTGGGCCTCCCCTAGGTCGTCTCGGCCTCAAATGAGTACCTAGTGCAGTGTGTAAGCATTGCTACAAGGGAGACGAAGGTGGTGCTGGCCATCCACCCCCTCGTGTGCCGTGTCGGCCTTCATAGGTGCTTGCTAACAGCACTTGCCCAAACAGTTTAAGGCTATACGGGGGATCTTTGTATTTGTATTGAATAGAAGTACACTGATAAAGTAAATGCAAGCAGCCGACCCCATGCAATGATGAGACGTTTGGCTTCGAAGAAGATACATGCATCATTGTATATACTTTGATCAAAATGGACATAATGCTGACAACTCTCAAGTTGAAGCAGCCAACTGAAGAGGACACTTGTGCACGTTCAAGAGCAGAGGGCAGTGTTATGATTTGTCAACAATTGTGAACGGCTAATACAGTAAGTGAAGATATGTTTGCCACATAGTTTGGTGAATGTTTGCCCCAGCCAGTGTAAATTATGTTATTGGCCCTCTCCATTGTAACAAATCTGTACTATACAATTACATTTGCGACTGATTCTTTAAAATCCATTCTCCATCACACCCAGTGGCTATATTTTGTTATTTCAATTTTTATTAATTTACCAGGTAAGGTCCATTGACCTATACAGCTCTCTTTCAGGAGCGACCTGGCCCCAAATGATAGCCCAACGAAGTGGCTTATCATGTGGAAAGCTTTCGCAGCCAAACACTCTAAACGCATGTTTCTAAATGTGGAGGGAAAAACCGGAGTGTCCTGAGAAAAATCCACACGGCCACGGGAAAGAAAACATGAAAACTCCAGATATACAACAGGCGTCAGCGTCGGGATTTAATCCACGACCTCCTGCATACCAGGCGATGTAGTCAACATCTCGCCACCGTGGCACCCAGGCTCGCTGTCGTTGCCTCCGCCACCTGTGTCCTGTGGCATGAGGGAGTCCACACGGCTGGAATGTCTTCGCCGATGGCCTCATCGCTAAGCAATACTCTTAATTTGCGGATGACTGAACCTATTGGTTGTCTCCACCAGAGCCACCGTGTACATGTGTATATATGTTGACCTTTCGCACCGTATGTAGCCAACTGTGCTAATCGGAGGCACCTCCACCAAAGGCAGACGTTTCATTCCGAAGGTGATATTTAACACACGTGTGTATTCACAAGATTATCTTTGAGCGCCCACTCACGTAATTTTACATGCGAGCCGATAGTATATGGCTGTTGCCATGCTGACAACTGTCGGGGAGCCATATTTTAAGAGTTTAATTCAGGACAAATCAGACGTACAACCCGGGAGGGTACAAGTGGTGCTTAAAATGTTCCGTGCAGTGTTCGACGAGCATGCCCCGTAATCCCCGGTTGTATTGATCCCGTGCTGGCTCGGTCGTTTATTGAGTTCAAGCAGGTCAGTGCAGTGGGCAGGCATTCCACGTGGGGTGATCGTTACAGATATCGTCACACCATTTTCTGTGCGGTTTTACACCCACTTACCATGAACACAAATGTGGCCGCTTCAACTTAAAGTTAATAGGATGGTCACTGGTTGTACATGTTGCCTTCAGTTTTAGGATGAGAACTTAGGAGGGTTTTTTTAATTGCTCACATTTACAGCTAGATAATATAACTGCAACGGGCCATTGTTATGGTGGATACCAGCATGTATTATTGAGGTGTTTATCCTCGCCTCAAAGTAACGATGGCATGGTTCTCCGCTGACGTGATGTTCAGTGATGTGACAACCATCATCTCCAGTCATGCATATGCTACCTTTTGCTAAAAATGACTGGGGGATGCCTGCCGTCACTTTAAGACAACTCCACTCTTCTTAGCATTGTTTCACGGGTAACATGGACACGGTGTGTGGGTACAAAGGACGATATTGCAACAAGGCTGGCAGCCCCCCCTGCTCATCCATGCTAATGTCAGAATTTTTTTATCAGCAATATAGCAGTCAGAGCCTGCCCGGCGAAACATGTTTATATCTGCCGTACAGTGCAATTATCCCACGGCTTGCTAGGTTCCGATATTGTGCGTAGCTCTGGCCAACGCAGGAAATTCCACAAATACCCCTGGACTTCTAACGCGGCACCAGCAAACCCGGCAGGACTGGCGAGGCCTCTCCAAGTTGGCATTTAATCTGTAACCCGTGAGCGGATGACAAGAGGGTTGACGAGCCATTGGCAGACCTGAATTAGTAATCGAGAATTATGTTTGGGCCTCTGACTTTTATTTTACACCTATGTGGTTAGTTGGCTGTCAATGAAATAACACCCGATGGGTACTATATACGATAATCGTGAGTGTAGTGCCTCTTCAACACAGTACGAGGTATTTTAATTATTTTACAAGTATTGGTACGTCGTCGCTACTATTCTTGGGTAGAGTAGCAACCTTTTTTTTCTCAAATAATTGTTCTGTTTTAATATGAAACAGCTGGCCACTGTAATTTGTTAGACGTTAAGGGATGACGTTGTTAGTCTCAGAATGAATGGGCTTTAAAAGTGATCACCCAAGGCTTCCTGCCTCGTAAGTTTTTGGACGCATCATCATCATGCATCTGTTTCGCATTTGAGTGCCTTAGAGCTTAACAATATACTGCATTTTCCAATACAGTCATGACGAACATGAAATTCTCCAGAATTTTTTGTTTGACTCCAACATCATTCCTCGTGGCAAACGATTAGTCAATTAAAAACACGCGGGACTATAATCACCGTCTAAAAGCGCGCACACATTTATAAAGTGAACTCTCGGTTTGGCGAAGAAGCACCCAAAATGCCTAGCGTGTTAACCGTTGGTTTCCACGTGCCAGAACGAAAAACATTTGCACAATGTGCCTGTTGTTTCCCTCGCACGTGCCACGCAGTCCCACGTTCTGTCTGCTTTGCACGCTGTTGAAGAGTCTTGTTGAATGAGAACCTAAATGAAACAACGAAAAATGTTACCGCACTGCTGTCATGCTTTTGAAAACGACGGCTTCCATTGTTTGTTGACTTATTCACGATTGTGCTTTCACTGTTTTGTGTCGAGAGTCAACGGGGGTCCCTGCAAGAAAAAAATAAACACACGAGGGCGGTGGGGAAACAAAAAGAGAGCAACCAACAGTGGAAACGAGCCAAGAACATTAAACATACGCATGCAGATATTGCATCGTGATTGATTATAATGTACGTGCGTGCAAATGTCCAGTTTTTTTTGTTTGTATCCACTACCGGACGAGGGCCTCCCCATGCTTAGCAGGTCATGGGGGTTAGCTATTTAACCATACTTCACTGTGCTGATTAGCATGGGCTGCTGAAGGTTAGGAGCACAGAAAGTACTGGGCAGTGTCACAACAAATTCTGTTGCACGATTCGCTGCTGTCCATCATGCAGCCCATAGCTCATGTGTCATGCATGGCGGTTGCCCATCCGAACACTGTACATGCTCAAGTCTGCTGCTTAGCTTCAGAGACCAGGTGAAATCTGGGGGATCTGGTCCTAGGTGAAATAATGTACTGTACATATATTTATA